GGCTAGACCAGTGTTGAGCAAGGTGAGCCAGATTATAGATCTGAATACATAGCTAGAGAAATGACAGTCTAGAATAGCCAGGACAACTCAATGAAGTCAGGCAACACCCTGCAGTATGTATGAAAAGCATACACCTTTTACACTGTTCATCTCAAATAAAGCTACCACCAGAGCTAGCGAGGCTTGCTGTGTTGGTGGTTCTCTCCTTGCTGTTTAAGGGCTTACAACCAAATTTATACAACCTCCCCCACATAATGATCAGGAGAGAAGAAAAATCAGAAGGTAAACCATAAATTCCTATTCCATTTTCAGTGTCCCCATTGACCTTCCCATAGATTATATTCAATGTTTTCTTTCCTCTTGAGATCAGATGGAACCAATAATATGAACAAAATATAGACATTTCACCAAACAACATGGATGTGGCAGAAAGAAATGTATTTTACCTTATCGGTATAGAGCCGTTTTCAGAAAATTAGAGAACTGATCAATAGGTGACTAATACTCTCTGTATTCTTTAGGAAGAAAATGACTTTTATCTTAGGGTGCAAAACGGGGTCCTGTGATGCTAACAATAGAGTTGCTTTGAAAATGTAGTTTACACATGGACCATACTGGGTCATTTCAATTTTTCAAAGAAGGGAGAAAATAATCTATACTTTAAGATGTATAACAAAACAAAACATCAAAGAAAAACCTTTTGAAGTAAATGGAGCATTCCTTCCTTTTTTCTTCTCTTTCATATTCATTACTAATCATCTGAATCTCTAAATAGCCCGTTTCGTGCTATAATTTTTAACAGAACAAGAAAAAGCTGTTGTGGACTTTTGTAAAAATGTCATAAAGTACCCTTACTGCAGATCAGTAACTTGACTTTAGAGCTTAAGTACATCAGTGTTTTATGTAATTCAACTTAGAATACTGCAGTTCTTACCGAAATATTTTCCAATTGGTCACTTGATAAATTACAATGTAATTAGAGGACAACACTGTAGAATGTAGAGGGAAAAGTTTCTGGACTAATAAGAGCCTGAATTTTTTTTTTTTTTTTTTAAAGATGACCGGTAAGGGGATCTTAACCCTTGACTTG